TGACGCACATGTCGGGGTGGGGCTCCCTGGGGCCCGATCCGCCGGTGGCGAGGAACGGGCCTCTGGGGCGGGCTTTTCCCCGCCCCCCGGGGGGACTTGGCAAGCCTACTAGCTTGCCCTGAAAGCGAGGTAGAAGTGTGAGGAAATGAGGTCAAAGGCTATGAATGAGGGAAAGGGTACCAAGAAAAAGCAGCTGATCTGAGGACAAAAGTGTATGACACACCACTGGACGCACATAAATGTTCTGTGAAGTGGGTATTTTTGTCCAAATCCCCTTTGGCCGTGTGAAATGCTTTGCTTTCAAGGAGAATGTTGAAAACAGGCAATATGGTGGAGTCCCTGGACACTTGCATTGCCAACAATAGCAATGTTAACTTCCAAGGACTTCTCTGATTATCCACAAGATTAATTCAGAGAAGTAACTTTAAAGCGCTTTATTTACTCCATTTCTACCTAAGGTTGTGCTTGAAATGCCAGTGGGAGGAGACTGGGGGGGGGGGGGGGGGGGGGGAAGGGGCTGAAAACTAGAAATGACGTGCTCAGTTGCCCCAAACTCTCTGGCTTAGAGAATCTGTGAATATCTGAACAGCATTGCACAATGTCATGATGTCACTTCTGGTTTTCTCCGGAAGTGACATCAGCGCTCGACCGTGAGTCAGGCATGCCTGTCCCCTACCCCCAAATGCTGCAGCCTGGCAACCCTATTTAGACTCCCCTTTTCTCCCCAGGGGGGACCCAAAGCAACTTACAACATCCCCTCCTTCTCCATTCATCTTCTCGACAACCCTGTGAGGTCGGGTTAGGCTGAGAGAAAGTGACTGGACCAAGGTCACCCAGCCGGCTTCCATAGCACGAGCAGAGACTGGAATTTGGTTTTCCAAAAACCTAGTCCTACATTCTAAGCGCTGCGCCACACTGGCTGTACGTCACAATCCAATTGTGCCGTTTTACGGAGTGGGTGGTGACCTCTTCTTTGCCTCTCCAGGTGGCAGCCAGCATTGTAGGTAAAGGGCTGGACTTGGCTCAACTAAAGCGTCTCCAGACAGACTTTCTTTCCCGGGAGGTCCTGAGTTTGACCCAAGCAGTCGTGGACCTAGTACCTCTACCCCGTTGGGAAAGAAGCCTGGGGTGATTTTGATTAGGAAAACGGACTCTCTGGGAAGAGTGACACCCTCTCTTCTATGCTGCTGTTCTGAGGAAATCCAACATTTCCTGCAGCAGCATTTCTGTGACATAAAACAATCAAGAAACAACCAAGAGATGCTTCATGGCCCTTCTAGGCATGTGGACTTCATACCAGGGAGACTTTTGTTCAAATCCTTCAGCCACGCAACTCAAATGATGACTTTGGGCTAGTCACTGGGTTGGATCAAACTGCTTTTCTGAGGGTGGAAGTAGGTGAAGGGGTCTCCTTTGTCCTCTGATCCAGAAAGGTTATGTGTAGTGTATTCAAAGCTGCCTTGAATGCATGACATGTTGTGAAACATCTAACTGAACTGTAATGTTAAGCTTCGTCCTGGGCTAGGATCCAAATCCATCCAATAGTATTGCTAGCCCAGGAAGTAACAAGCCAATCACTTCAAGCAAGCTCCCTGAGCAAGAACTAATGTGATTGGACCTTATCTCTGCAACCTCATAGGTTGATATGTGTACAGTGGGTGTGGCTACATTAGCCAGGAATGTTTAAAAGCAGGACAGCTGCAATGTAAAGGCTGTTCTGGCTATCTGATGTTGATCCGTGTTGGAGTTGTGTTCGAGTTGAAGAATAAAGTTGTGTTCTTGCTGAATCACTCTCCGACTTGCTTTGTTAAGCGAGCGACTTAACATTATGCTTGGGTGCCAAGAGGCCCATGTGGACAAAAGCCATGAGGGAGGAATATCTGGGAAGATTGATCAAAAAACCCGGCTGAGTCCAATTCACTGTCTATCTCCACCTAACAGACTATCTAGTTGAGATGCATGATGACTCGATACTCTGCTGGTGGACCTCCTGCAGGCACTTTGTTTTTGGCCACTGTGTGACACAGAGTGTTGGATTGGATGGGCCATTGGCCTGATCTAACATGGCATCTCTTAAGTTCTTATATACCTCTCAATCACTTTAATCTTCCTCAAAAGCAATCATAGAAGAGGGCCCAATAAGATGTGGCCTACAGTAGTATGACCACGGAGTTAATTGTTTTCTCCTTAACTCAACCCTGACAAAATCCCTCTAGGTCAACGCACTACCCATTGGCCTGTTTTCTTGAATTCCCAAAGACCTCCCTCTGAAAGCCAAGATTGTAAAATGTGGATAATTGCCTGTAAAAGGTGGATAATTTCCCCCTGTGTGTCTGAAATTTGACAGGGAGAATTCTTTGGGTGAGGGGTACATCCTTGGGTCACTTCAATTCAAACAGAAGAGGGGAGAATCACGGTCAGGAATGGAGCAAAGTTAGAGTCCAACGGGGCACCTTTAGGACCAACCAAGTTTTATTCAAGATGTGAGCTTTCGTGGGCGCGCACACTTCCTTAGACTATGAAATGGAGTTACATATCATAGTTGTATATATAGGGCTGGCTTGTTAAATTTGCATGCAAAATAGTGACAGTGTTTTTTTAAACAGATCAGAAGAATGACATGCTCGGTTTCTGGTTATCATCTGGTTATCACCAGAAACCGAGCATGTCATTCTTTTGATCTGTTTTTTTTTTAAAAAAATCGCTATTTTGCATGCAAATTTAACAAGCCACCCCCATATATACAACTATGATATGCAGGGGTCATTCCCTGCAGGAGCGCACAGGAGCGGAGCTCCGGCAGTAAAGAGCCCAGGGGGCGGGCGCATGCAACAAGCCCCATCCCCTGCTCCCAGCAGCCCTCAGTCAGAGCAAGAAGCAGCCAGGTAAGTTGCAGAGCCCCCCCCCCCCGGTCCAATACAGTGCAGTGGCACCTTTAAGACCAAGTTTTATTCTGGTACAAGCTCTCCCTCCTCTGTGAGGACAGATCTGCACATTCTGCCCCCCCCCCATAGCTAGCAATCCAAAACAGTCCAGTGGAGCCTGAGCGGTGGGTGTTGCCTTCTGACACACGTCCAGTGAGGTCAGGGGGTGTGGCATATGCAAATAAGTGATACTAATGAGTCATGCTAATGAGCTCCTGCACCTCTTTTTCTACGAAATGACCCTGATGATATGTAACTCCATTTCATCGTATGAGCAAGTGTGTCTGCACACGAAAGCTCACACCTTGAATAAAAATTTGTTGGTCTTAACGGTGCCCCGTTGGATTCTAACTTTGTTGTATTCTTCAGACCAACACGGCTGTCCACCTTGATCTGTCAGGAATGCGTTTCCCATTGATTCTAATGGACACACACACACAAAAACCTCTGAATGCTAAAAATGAACAGCTTTAACGATGAATTTGAAGAGAGCAAATCAAGGTTTCAAAAGAAAACTGCAAACAACAGCAAGACAAAACAAAACAAAAAAACCCCAGGCACAAATCCCTAGTTATTATCAAAGGAGAACTCAGGGGCATGGTTCAAAAAGAAGGCCATGGTATAGGGAAA